GACTGTCCACGTGGTTTGCCCTACATTATGTAGGACCTAATTGCTACATTTGGCATCATGAAGATGACAGACTTGAAATATAGACAATGTTGCTGCTCTAGAATGGAGCCTTTTTTTTTTCTAATGAGCTTCTATGGTGAGCACTATGGTGGAGGCCTGGGCTGTGACTACACTTGTGGTAGCTAGAGATACGCCTGTTGGTACCTTTGCTGTTATGAAAGATGCTGGTCTTTCTGTTTCTGAGAAATTCAGACTCCCTGATCACTTTAGGCCCTTCCCTTATAAAACAACCCAATCAACCTCATAATCAGTTATCTGAAGATTCTACAGTTTAGCAGAAATAAAAACATAATACCTAGCATTTGAATTATTGATGTACAATTAAATTCAAATCATCATTATGAATATGCCTAAATTCTCCATTTGAAGTAAATTTTTTGGTTTTTTTCAAACCTGTATCCTTATGCACACATTTGTTTAAATTGCACATGTGATTATTCACATACAGTAACTGACTCTTTGGGAATGTACTGCTGATCAAATATCTGGAGAGTACAATAATTTATACTTGAAAAATTGCTTTATTATTGTCATGTTCGTAAATTACTAAATAAAACCATTTTCAGTCAAGGACCAGCATTGAGTTGCTGCAGGGCCAGCTGGTGCTTTTAACATTGGCATTCTCAATCAGAAAGACAGACAGAGATGACCTAAATCGTTACCTAAATTGTGTTTACGTGTTTACAAATGTTCATGCAAGTGTAAGCACCATGGTGAGGTCCCTAACCTTTCAGGCAATTGTATTTGTGGTCATATATGTCTTCGGTAAGTGACCTACAGTGATATTCAGCCAAAATTTCTTGAAAATGTGTTTCTAATTTTCTCCAACAGTTGACAAATGATAAAACGTGAAATAGAGATACTAAATTAAGGTATGTGTGAGTGGGCTTTGGTTCTACCATGAACAACACTAACAGCATGAAACGGGTCAGAAACCCCTGTCAACACCATCAAAAATAGAATAGAATAGAATAGAATAGAATAGAATAGAATAGAATAGAATAGAATAGAATAGAATAGAGATAGAGATAGAAACTGTATTCTTTGACCGACTTAACCACTACAATCACCAAAGCGGCCATCAGATGTTAAATATTCAACAAGCATAACTTATGTCCTCCTCTAGTTAACAAGACCAAAGCTCCAGTGGATGAACGAGACCAAGAAAGCAGTATCCCTTGTCCATTCAACTCAACAACCAGTGCCTCCCTCACTTGCCTTGACATCAACTTATCTCATGCACCCAGGTTCAGTGTCACAGTGCCTTCCAGAGAAGGTAGCTAAAATTGTCATTCTCTTCTACTACTGCCAAGCTCTAAATTTCATCCTGTCAGTTTGTGCTTGGTCCTTATCATCCTCCCCTCACATACAGAACAATCAAAGGAAAGGGGCTTCAAGTCAGTTGTTCCAATACTGAGAAATAAGAGGGTGTCACACAAGTCCAGTTCTACTGGTAACCAACTGTGTCGCATTACAGAAGTGGTTATCTGTTCTTGCCCCCAGGTGCTACACAAGCTGCTCAGAAATTTTTTCTCAGGGCACAAAGACCGAACACTGTCTGTTCAAATGATTGAGTAAATTTAGAAGTGTGTCAGAACATCAAACTAAAGAATATAGTTTAAGAGGATACAATTTTGGTGATAAACATTTAGGAATATGGCTGTTTCATGAAAGTAGACAGCCATAACTTAACTGTAATTTACCTGAGGGAACTAGAGAAAAATACAGTCAAGAATAGTTAAACAAGGCTCAGATTGCAGCCTCTGATGCTATTCCTTGGGTCAGAGCTGTGGAACAGCTGCTTAGGCTGCCACTTGTGACATGTCAGAATTCACTGCATCACTTCCAGTCTAGCCTCTCTCTTTCTCTCTGTTTCTGTCTGTGTGTGTGTGTGTCTGTCTTCCAATCTGTCTCTGTCACTCTGCCTTTGAAATAAAATGAATAAATGCTTAAAATCAGTTTTCACCCTAAAGTGTTAAGATTGATTTTCCATGTTTATGGAGTTATGCTTGACAAATAAAAATCATATATATTTAATGTGTACAGCATGATGATTACATATTGTGCAGTGATTACCATAATCAAGCTAATTAGCAGATCCCTAACCTCACATAATCATCTGTTATTTATGAGTGGTTAGAAAATGTAAGGTATATGAGTAATCCTTTAACAAAATTTTAGAAACACACAACACAAAATAGAATGATGGTTTTAACAATTTGGAGGTTGGGAAAATTACAGACACAGTGATCAATGAGTTCAGATTTTCAACGTAAGGTGAATTAATTCTGGTTGTCTAATGTGGAGCATAATAATTACTAGAGCTATTAGAGTACTATAAACTTTAAAGTGGCTCAGAGCCCAAAGTTAATGTGAAGCAGTTTATTTTCAAGGACATCATGAAAAAGGTAGCATAATTATTTAGTATGTGTGATCCTAAGAGCGGAATGTAATAATAAAACCGAAGGAGAAATACTAAGTAGAGACATGAGGGAAGGAGACATTCTAAGAGCACATAGTCTGGCCAGTTCGCTAAACAACTAAGCAACACCCGCAAGTCCTGGAAACGGTAAGCCAGATGCAGCTAGAGTTGTTACAGAATACAATCTAAAATGCCCAGTGTTTGGGGTACCCCTTGTGGTACACAGCACATTAAGCCACTGCTTGGGACAGCTGCATTCCATATTAGAATACTGAGTGGAATCTTGCCTGCTTCACTGGCAGGTCCTTACCAGCACATCTGAGAGGTAGAAGGTCAAGGCTCAAGTACATGGATTACTGTCACCCATGTGGGGGTCCCTGAAGGATTTCCTGGCTCCACCTTGAGTGTGATTCCATGCCAAGTATCAGGTCCACTTGGTAAGTAGACCAGTAGATGGAAAACTCTGTCTCTCTTATCTCTATGTCACTTTGTCATCAAATAAATACTTATTCAGTTGAATCAATATTGATGTAAAAAATCTATTTTGAGATCACAAAGATATGACCCTTACTGAAGGAAAAATGCAAGCAATAGAATTTGTCTTTAAGAGGGTTCAAATGACATACTTGCCAAAGCCTTTGAAGTAGCTATATGTAAATATATTTAAAGTAATAAAGATAGCCAAACGTAGTGAAGTATAGGAAGATGAGATGACAAGCTCTAAATAAATGAATATTAATTAAAATATATGCTATTTTTAACAAACCATTTAAAAATTTCACAGCTGAATATTACAGAACACTTACATTACCTTATCATACTATACTGTTATAATTGCTGTATTCTTCTTATTGTTTATTGTTATTAATTTTATATTGTCCGTAACTTAAATTTTGTCATTTGTATATACGGATAAGAAAAATTTAAATTAAGCATGTTTGTGAAAATATTTTGGCATTTATCAAATGACATTTAGCAGTTTATGATGGCGTCCTGTAAGAGGAAGGAGACAGTTTGATTCAACATTCACTATGAGCTCGTGCTGGCGGATTTCTGTACAGTCACCCACTGGCTGTACTGATTCCTCCATGGAGGGAAGGAAACCTTATTATAAGTAATATGTGGGTTGAAGACACAGTTCCTGGCAAAATTTTAAAAATAATTTAAATTGAAAAATGCAGCATATGAATTATCAAAAATGTGATTAGAAAATTATGAAGGAAAAAGCTATGCTCAGTGATTTGAGCTTTCCTTCTAAATAGTCTACATAAAAACTATCACGCTGAGAAGTAAGTCAGACACAAAACTACCAGGCTTTCTCTTATGTGGGGTAACTAAGACAGAGGGTGAAAATTGTGTGGATGTCACATTCTTTGCTATATTTTTATTCTTTCCCACAGGAAAATAACAGAAAGAAATTATGCGTGTAGCACTCAGGACTATTGGTACTTTTTTCTGAATTTAGATGTTGGCTTGACTGTGATTTGATTAACAAACTCATTTATTTGCACCAAACAAAAAAAAAAATGGAACTTAAAGTGGAAGCTGAAGAAGCTCCGTACCACACTTGAATCTCGGAAGTAGACAAAGAAAACCAGTTAAATACTGGTGTGCAGATTGCTAGACTGAAATGAGAAGGGAAATGAGATATTTCCCATTAGACAACTGCTCCCGATCAGCATTTTGAATCCCCTACTTGTGATATAAAGAAGCTTCGCTGTCAGTATCCAACATAGTTTTATATAAAATTATTGCTATCCACCTGCAAGTCATATCACTTTAGAAAGCCTCACTAGCTCCGGATAAACTTGAATATGTTATTCCCAAAAATTGCCATTGATAAGCACTACCATGAAAGGGGAAAATAAAGTTGAACACATGAATAGCATGATTTTAGGTGCCTGCAGAGGAACCTTTAAAATAAAGCTTGTGTTTCTTTGTTATGTACCATAAGCCAAGCAATGATTCAATGAATCTATTAGCAATTCTTGATTAAAGCACAGAATTAACCAAATATGTGTTCTTTGTTCCATAGTAGAGGGACAGTGAAGTTTATCACAAGTAAACTATACTTCAAAGGAAACTAAATTTCAAATATTAGATATTTATCTTTAAATAGTAAGAGAAATTATCTCTCAAAGAAAGGAATGATTAACTTTTTTACAAAGAAATGCAAAACTGAGTTAGTACCAAATATCAAATGATAGACAATAAAAATCCAGAATGGCTTTTACAGATGAAACAAGTTTATTGAGTTAACAAGGAAAACTCCATCATGAAAGTCATCAAAACAGATATTATGGTATCATCATCCAGTTGAGAAAAGAAATATGTTGACTCAGGTGAATTTTGAGGTGAATTTTTTGCTAGCCTATTGGATAAGGAGAGTTTATGAGAATTGTAGGGTAGAAGTTAGGTCAGCAACACATTTTACAACAGTGACATTTAGGATCATCTTCATCCAAGATATGGCTCAAAACAGGAGGTTCTAAATGAAGAATGCCAAGGTTGCAGGTTCAGAGGAGAGCAGTCTCCTTTGGTGTCCTCAGTAGTAATAGCCAAAGCCAGAGCCATAGCCAGAACCATAGCCATAGCCACAGCCACAGAGGGAGCGTGAGCCATAGCCATAGCCACAGCCATAGCCACAGCCCAGTCTGCGGATGCCACAGCCATAGTAGGAGCCATAGCCACAGCCCAGGCCTCCATAGCCATAGCCCAGGCCTCCATAGCCACAGCATCCATAGCCACGGCCGCCATAGTAGTTTCCGTAGTAGCCAGACATGGTGTTGGGTGTTGAGGTTGTCCTTGGGTGGAGGAGCAGGAGGAGGAGTGTAGGTGACTTGAGTCTGCACAATGCTGCTTGCAGGAGGCCTTTTATAGGTCCTCATTGTGGGTGTGACCCAGCAACCAATGCTCTTGTCATTGGCTCATTTTATGACTAATGTAGTTAATTTGTTATTTTTCAATCATGAGATAAATCCTTAGAGTTATGAAGGAAACTTACTTTGTTTAGTCTCAGTTTGGAATCTCCATATTAATTGAGCACTTTAGTAAGAGACACTCACATGCAAGCTGTTTCCCTAGGCTCCTTTCTTAAATAGTTGTTCATGGTAACCTTTTATAGCCATGTTTCACAAAGCAAAGTAATCTGGTTTATTCATAATTTTATTTATCCTTGGTCCCAAGTTTCCAACCCCTCTTTTTGACATTTAACAAGAAAAACCTTCCAATTTCATAATGAAATTCCTTTTTGTCTTTTTCTATGCTAGTGTTTTCTTCCAGCATCAGTTAATTTTATATTACAAAACCCAAATATCTCTTTCCTCTCCATGGTGTTGATATAATCCACTAATTTAAAATTCAAGAGAAGCAGGTGTCATAATATATTATCTACTTTCCACTTCTGCCAAGTAAATCAAATTTCCATTTATTTTAACTTGTAATGAAAAATTAGAAAATAAAAGCTACATTAGGGGACCCCACTTCTGTTTCCTCTTTTCCAAATTATGCACTCAGCAATGAGTCTGCATTCATAACTCTTCATATTGCATACCATCATTTATTTGAGTTTATACTAGATTAGAGAACTTTTCCAAATATCCTTGGTTCTCTTTGTGATATAACATGTTAAGCTGTCTAGCATAACAGGTTAAATAGTTAGTGTTACCATTCAAATCGCTGTAATAATTAATTAATTGTATCTAGCACCCAAAGAAAACTAGAAGTAGTTTCATATCAAAATGAAGAGACGTATCTGTCTGTATTTAAATGTGTATAAGAAAGTAAAATCCACATAAGCACACAGGTTTGATTTCCCAATGAATGTTCTTAATTAAAATGTCAATATCGTAATGTAAGCATCATTAGGCAGAGAGAAAAATTCAGTGCTGAAATGACAGTGACAAAGGCTTGAAATGTTAGCCATCCTCCATGTTTTACAGCCATTGCTTAATGTTCATCAGAATCATGATATATCTATTTCTCCATTTCTCTTAGTTACTAACTCAAATGTATCAAAACAAAATAGTTGCTAAAATATGCATGCTGTATTTATTTTGAAAATTAGATAGAGTGTTACAGATAGACGATTTTTATCAACTCATCAGATATTAAATGCCTGAAAATGTTAATGCTGGGACAGACAAATGCCAGAAGCAAGGAAATCATGCTGTATTTCCCTATAGGTGGCAGGGAGTCAACTATTTCAGCTCTGTGCTTCTAACCCAGGAATTCCAATACTTTTTGCAGGAATTTCAAGTAGCATTGTAACACTGTGACCTGTAATCACTCCAGAATTCAATCTTTTGATGCACAGCCATGATTTCATATGGATGATCAGAATGACACATTCAATTATCCATCCCTGCTTCATGTATCCCAAAAATTCTTTCCATGTGTGCTTCATGTGATGCTCATTTTCCAATGTTCATGACTTCTTGTGAAATTTTATTCATTCATTATCTGCTATATTTAGATATTAATAAAGAGTCTGTACCATACCTTGTCAAATTGCTAAAATTAAAAAGAATGATGACCTCAACTGATGCTATAAAATAATAGGTAACCAATGAAGCAAATAATTTTTTATTACAAAGAAAATGATTAAAATATCAGATTATTATTTCTTTAGATTGTTTTTACATCATCACTTAATTTGTGTAAGACTGAGTATAAGCAAACAATTAAGAAAAAAGAGAAACAAACTAATTAACCTGTTTTGTTCTTTTTTTAAGATGTATTATTTTTACTGGAAAGGTAGATATACAGAGAGGAAAGACAGAGAGGAAGATTTTCCATCTGAAGTTTAGCTCCTCAAGCAGTCGCAATGACTGGAGCTGAGCCAATCTGAAGCCAGGAGCCAGGAGCCTCTTTCAGATCTCCCACGTGGCCACAGGGTCCCAAGCCTTTGTGCCATCCTTAACTGCTTTCCCAGGCCAAAAGCAGGGAGCTGGGTGGAAAGCAGGGCATCAGGATTAGAACCAGCACCCATATGGGATCCTGGCATATGGACTTTATTCTCTAGACCACAGCACCAGGCTTAAACCTGTTTTCTTCTTTTTAGTGTGTGTTTGTGCTTGACTTAAAAGGACTATTAATACAGTGTAGGGGTGTGTGTGTGTGTGTGTGTGTGTGTGTGTGTGTGTGTGGTGGTACAACAAAATGCTCCTAATAGCAACATTAACTAGATTTTAGTCTCCTTAGTATTTTCTTGAAGGTATTAAATTTTTCCTATCTGTAAATTTCTAAATTAAAATATCTTATAATTATTAAAATCATTTTCTAGATGTATTATTATGAATGTATTTAATTATCAATTATGTTCTTTGATCAGAAACAAAATATGCCAATTATGAAAACTTGGAGGCAATCTCCATTTTTCCCCCAAGCTGTAGAGCAAAGCTTCCTGATTCCCAATGGGCCACCCGTTGGAAACTGCTCTTGCAGAATCACTGAGACCTCAGACCAAACCTGCTGCTTTAGTCTTGATTCTACCCAAACTTTACACAATGCGCTTTTTCACCAAAATTCTCTTTCACTCCTAAAAAATTCCCCAAAATTAAATGCATTCTGCTACAGATATTTGACCGAATTTCAGTCTCACCATATGTTCCTCCAGGTTTCCTTTCTTTATTGCTTTCCAATGGGTTTGATTGTTTTCTGATTCTCAATTGTGAAAGTGCAATTGTTTCCCCCATCTATATCCTAGACTCTGTTTAAACACTGTGTAGATTAGTCACTTTGATTACAGTATCTTTCCAATCTTTCTCACTTTGCATTTCCAACAACATTATTACATATAATAGGATTAACAGAACTCAAAATCTGCATACTTTATTTCCTCTTCTTTCAAATATTGCTCTTTTTTTTTCCCCACTTCCAGGATCCAATTCACAATACATTTGATTTTGTGCTTTCCTCGCGTCCTCTAAGAGTGACAATCCTACAGTCTTTCCTTGAACCACATGACTGAATCTTTTCCACAATGCTTTCTAATTTGTTACTTAGTCTCAGGTTTTCTCACACTACAATCGGGGTTACATATTTTTGGAAAAACAGAAGAAAAATATATACAAATAATGGAGGCAAATAAATGAAAAGAGGAAGATTTGCATGTCTATTGCACTGTTTTTCAGTCCTCTCTAGAGTTAAATAAGAAAATTTAAATAAAATAATACATTCTCAAGGAAACAGATCACAAAAATGAACCAAAGACCGTGTTCTCATGCACTGATCCATTTCCCTGAATTCATGATGAAAAATCATGTTAAGTGCTCCCACAAACATACCAAAGATGATTGCTTAAGAGTTTTTTGCCACGTCTTCAAAAACAAAATAATTCCAATGTTGTGGAAATAAGATAACTTCCTAATTCCTAACATGAAGAGCATTGAGCATTGAAATTGTGTTGGACGGACTCTGAAAGCGTTACTGTTGTCTCCCCAGCTGCTGTGATTGTCCATCGTGAGCAGCTTTCTGTGAGGGTGCCAGAGGTCTGTGGCTCACTTTTCAGGAACAAAACAGACAGGTACATGGATTATGTAAAAGTCTCTTCCTGGGGTCACCTTCCCCAACTGGCTTTGAGAAAACCAGCAACATTTCATAGGAATACACTTAGCCAAAAATTTTGTGCAGCCTTGGGAGCAGAAATGACCCCAAGGAGAAAGCTCACATGGAGGTCCAGTCAACAGCCGGGAAGAAATTGATTCCTGCAGTTCCATATATGCAATGAACTGAATTCTGCCAGCCATGAGTATGCCATTGGATCCCTATCTGCCAAAGCCTCATGTATAACTCACATTCCAGTGAACATATTGCATGAAATACAAATAAGAAAATCAAGCTTCTCATCGGATGTATAAGTTAGCTTAATATCTATTACTAGCTCATGGTGAATCAAATTATAAATCTATTCTATAGGATCCACCTTCATAAAAAAAAGTGTACCTTTAAAATGGGAGATTAAATATGTGAACTACAAGAACTTTGAGATATATGAACATGAAAGTTTGCAGGAGTAATTTTTTTTTTCCATCAGCTTGTACCATGTACCAGTAACCATGAATATTTAACCCAACTATGAATATTATTTTATTTAGTGTTGAGAGTTATATAATGTAATATGTGTTGGTTGCTCATTGCAGTGAGTACCAATGAGATTTATTAAAAATAATAAATTGCACTTATCAGAAAATAACATTTGAATTGGTAAAGAAAGGGATAAAGAAGCAGTAAAAGAAAATATCCTCCAAAGAACATAACAATTCTCTTTCTTACATGTTGAAACACAAAACTGAAATCAATGATTCACAGAAAAGGCTAAGGTTGCTCTGGTAGATTAAATAAGTTTATTATATCAACAAGGAAAATAGTTAGCAAAACTGATGTAGGAAGTTACTGTGGTATCATCATCCTGGTGGAAGGAGAACTGCGCGGTCTTCATTAACTGCATCTTATCCCACTTTATGGAGAAAACTAAAATTTAGATTTTATGTCAACAACAAACATGTTGCACTTCCAAAGCAAGGATCTTCATTCAAAGATGAAGCACAGAAAATGGGGAGCTCAGAACGAGAGAATATCACAGGTATCGAGGGTAGCAGTCTCGTGGTTGTCCTCAGTAGTAGTAGCCAAATCCAGAGCCATAGCCAGAACCAAAGCCATAGCCACAGCCACAGAGGGAGCGTGAGCCATAGCCATAGCCAGAGCCATAGCCACAGCCCAGCCTGCGGATGCCACAGCCATAGTAGGAGCCATAGCCACAGCCCAGGCCTCCATAGCCATAGCCCAGGCCTCCATAGCCATAGCCCAGGCCTCCATAGCCACAGCATCCATAGCCACGGCCGCCATA